TCTTTGGTTGGTGACATCCTTGATGTTTTCTTTGGAAGGCAGCTTCTTTGAACTTTATCCAAGGTTTAAGTGGGAAGGGACAAAATTCACATCTCTTACTTACATTATGTTGATGATACAATATAATCTTATTTTTTCTTTCTTCAAGGAAATGCAGAGTATTTTCTCAATTTGAAAAGAATCGCAAAGTTCTTTAAAGCGGTTACTGGACTGAAAGCAGACCTTGAGAACAGCAATATCATTGGAATTAATATCCCTCAGCAGTTGATGAACCACGGGATGCTACAAGAGGCAACATTGAGAATTGGCCTATAAAAGACCTTGGGTTGCCACTAGGTGGAAATCCAAAGACTGCTACCTTTTGGGATCCAGTAATTGAAAAGTGTGAAGAAGAATGGACTCCTGGAAGACTATTGAATCACATTGAAATCCAAAGACTGCTACCTTTTTATCAGTGCTTCAAGTGCCTGCCAGGGTGAGAAATCACATTGAAAAGCTACAACGTAATTTCCTTCCGGATGGGGTAGGAGGTGGTGGAAAAAGAGATCATTTTTTGAACTGGGAGACTATTTGCAAATCCAAGAAGGAAGGAGGTTTGTGTCTGGGTAGTATAGCTGAAAGGAATATTGCATTGCTTGGCAAATGGCACTGGCAGATGTTGAACGAATTTCTCTGGACCTCCACTATTAGCAGCAAATATGGTAGGAATGGTATTGGTAGGGTCAGCTCTCGGTCACTAAGTAGGTCCACTATCACTAATCCATGGAAAGGTATCACTCAATCATAGTCTTTCTTCTCTCTAGCTTTATTCGATTCACACTGGGGATGGTAACCTCATCAGATTTGGACTGACCTTTGGTAGGGCCATCTTCCCCTATATATGTCTTTCCCCAACCTATTTAGACTTGCCTTGGACAAGCAGACCTTAGTATTGTCAGTCCCAATCTGTGAGAAACTAGGCTTGTCTTATGGCTTTAATTTTCTGAGGTCCCCTCTCTGCTCTCCTCAGTTGCAGATGCTTATTTCTCTTCCTCTATTCCTGACAAAGTAATCCGGTCCTTCACCCCTAATGGCAACTTCACTATAGCACCATTATCATCCATAGAGTAGCTCTTGACCATCTCTCTACACTCTTTTAAACTAAAAGTAAGAATATATGTCATGACAAACATGCCCTGATAATAAACAGACTCCACCTCTCTTCAAGTTGATGGTATACAAAGCATGGGAAACTATTCAATTCAGGATTATCTTATCAAGATACAGTTACCCTTGTAGCTTTCTAGGTTAATAAAGTCAGTGGTAAGATAAGGTTTTCAAAAAGTTGAAGATAAAGTTCATTAAACCATGACTTAGTTGCAGATTGTGGGCATGTTCCATTAACAACTAAACACTTCAATTATGAAATTGTTCTTGCAGAAGGCTGAGATAGTTAACGCAAGGCAAATCATAATAATACACCTAAAAAGACACATACATGTGGAGTTACAGACATACTCAAAATAATAGTAACTAAAGGTAAGCAATACTCCCACTTCAAACATGAGAAATACTATTACAGAAGAGTAGTTTTCTTCTTATATGTAGAGATCTCTAACCTTGCCACCAACAACACTCCAAACACCATCACTGCCTTCTTCAATCTCTGAGGCACATGAACTGTCAATGGATAATTCCACTGGTGGGTTCTGTTATCAGATTAAGAAAATGTTTCTTAAGATAGAATCATGCATCTCTTTCAAGGAGAGGAAGAAATTATGAAAAGAAAACAAGATTTCCAGTCATGCACCTCCATAGAGTGATCCTTAACAGAGGCTGTCACAGGCAAGACTCGTGCATGATGGACATAAGCCTGAAATCTCCCATCACCTCCATCATTACCAGCCAAAGTTACCTTCTTCAAATCATCTGGGCTAGAATCATTCTTCAAGGAAGACGCCAGTGGTTTATCTCCCACAACCACCCCATTTATATGAAGACACATACGATCTTTAGATGCCTGATGTCAATGCAACAACCAATGAATATTTCATTTGTTACTACATAAAAGTATATAAATGTTACACTAAAATTAAACACCACGTGAGTCCCAAAAAAACAACAGTAAAGATCCATGTACATGAAAAACAGTATAACTTAAATATGGAAGGAGAAACAACTACCATAATAACAGTAAATACATATATAATGCTAGCACAAATGCACATGCTTTAGTAAAGGGTTGAAGACCCTCTTTTCCCCTTTAGACTTAGTAGCATTTTTACCCTCTCTTGAAACCATTGTCCTTCAATATGATTAGAAAGAATCTCATATATAATATGTTAATAGAGGGATTCTTGACTTGAATGCTGGTTTTCCTTCTTTTTTAACCATTGTCCTTCAATATGCTTAGATAGAACAATTGATTTTATGCTTTGCAGAAACCTTTTTGATCAAAATGAAAGATAATCAAATATTTTTATATTCTATTTTGTATTTTTGTTGGATTCATTCAACTAGTTTAAATAATTTGGTTGAATAAATTTTGTTATTTTAAATGTATAATTGACAATGAAAAAAGAGAGGTGGATTAATAGATAAGAAAATGAAAGTACAAGGGGTTAGTCTGGGATCACATGTTTAATGTTTGCAATTTAATTGTTCTTTTCTATCTATTGTTGTTTCTAGTGTAACCTATCACTAATTTGTGGGAGAGGGAAGAGAGAGAACACTAAATGCACGTTAGAGAGAGAGGGAGGAAGGGATGGAAGATGGAAGGAGGGAGGGAGAAACCTAGCTTACTTTTTACCCTTATATATATATTATGAAAAAAATTCTTAAAATTTTTACCCTTTTATATTTAAGCTACCTATATAACATAAAGAAAAGGCGGCATTGTCATGAGGCTGCTTATACAAAGTTTCAGCATTATATAGTAAAGATGTTATTCTATGTAACCTATAAATGAATAGAAAATGCAAACATTAAAACTAAATGTCATTTGGTCAAAAGCTGCTAAAATCTATAAAGCCACAATTATATGGCTAAATTGGGTAAGTTAATATAGATGACAAAAAACAATAAACTTAAATAAACCAACATTAAGTGGTATCCCATATTCATTTAATGAAAGACTTGCTGTTAGCAGATCAACTGATTCATCTCATAGCACTAGGAAGAAAAAGAAATTGCTAAGGCGAGGAACAAACTCTTCAAGCAGACTAATTCTTCTGTTTGGATGACAACAAACCTCACATCCAACATGAACCCATTTTTCCAATGGGCACTCAACCTCCGAAGATATGCAGGGAATTTTGAACAATGAAGTGGAGTTTCTAGGATGAGGAGCTTCTTCATGTAGGGACAACAACGGAAATAGTGTCATTTTCTTCTCCTCATTCAAAACAAGAAAGGGAGCATCACCTTCAATATCAGACTGCATTTGCACATTCAGAAACAAACATTAATTCAGTATAAATGGAGTACCTGTTTGTTACCGTTATGAGCATAGAATATATCAGCAACAAAAAAAAAAGAAAAAAACAGAGAAAGAAAGAAAGAAATCCTTCCTGCATATCACTTGGTGCTATTTCAGGAACCAAGCAGCATAAAAAAATACAGAAAGAAGAGGAACCCTGAATACCTTTCCATCCATGTTTTCCATTTTTCGCCCTAATCCAAAACAACCTTAGAGCTTGTTGAAAACAAAACAATACCCAGATGATGCAATGGATGACGGAATGCATCAAAATGGATATAACAAACCATAAGAAGTAAAACAACAGCTTTATTTAACTGGAAAAAATTACTTCCTCCAGTGAAAAATGGCAGGGACATAAGAATACGAACAGGTACTTGCCCTTGCACCTCGGCATTCATTTTGAAATCTGAATCCAGAATATTTGATTCTCCAATATATGCACAAAGCTATAAGTACCCAAAAAGAAAACAAAGAAAAACAACCAAAAAAAAGCAATTGAAGAAACGAAAAGAATCTTAATAGGAATGCATTTGAGCACCCGGAGAAGGAATTAAACTCTGCCATATCTCCACCATCATCAATGTACATAATACCATAAAAGCATTAATAATCAACTTCATAGGTGAATATACTGAAATGGGTAGTCTTCCAAAATGACAAGACTTCAGCATTAACGCTTGTAGTGATGGAAAAATTTGACAAAAAAGGGAAACGAGAGGCCAAATTCAGACCTGTCGGATGATTGTAGACGGAGGGTTGGTGGCATTTAATAGGTAAATCCAAAAACAGAGAGAGAATGTGCCTTCATCTGTGTCGATTTCCATCTTAAGATCCTTAAGTAACGAGTAGTCATCATCACATACAGCTGACGATTTGGTAGCCATGGTCGTGGTAATTGAACACGGGAGAGACCTCAACCAGCGCCTCTTCGGGATAACTTTAACCTACCTACCTTGATAGAACCAGATGGTGTACTGATAGAAGAACTGCTCCAGAGAGAAACAGAGAGAGAATCATACGAGTTGAGTTCTACTTTTTTTCTTTCCTGTCTCGGACTTCAGTCCACTTCTCTTCCCCTCTTTCCTCTTCTTTCCTTGACGGCCGTTTTTCTTAACGGTCGGTGACTCGGCGCTGTCTTTCCGCGCATTTTATACGGGTTGGGGTTGCTCATTGACATTGAGCGCACCAAATTTAGGGGCGGAATTTTGAGTTAAAAATAATAGATTACCCAAATGGTGGGCCCTCATCCAACGACCAACTGCTTGGGCCGCCTGGGCTTGGGCTTTCCGTGAGACCATGTCCGATGTTGTTCCAGCTTTGTTTCATAACAAGAGTGTCTCATCATCTCTCGTACTTGTTAGCGGGAGATGTTCTATGTGAACTCTAAAAAGAGAAATAGATTAGCCAAATGGTGGGCCCTCATCCAACAATCAACTGCTTGGGCCGCTTAGGCTTGGGCTTGAGCTTGCCGTGAGACCATGTCCGATGTTGTTCCAGTTTTGTTTCATAACAAGTGAGTTACTCTGGGATTGCTTAATTAAGGGAATTCAGATTAGCTGAACGCTTTAGCTGTTCAGTAGGCTGTGGGACCAATGATAAGGTTCCATGCCAGTATATACCGCTGAACAGCTAAAGCATTCAGCTCAACCTTACTCTCTGAGCGGAATGTTATAATCAGAACCCCACTCCCATTCCTAGTGTATTGGCATTTCCCCATTTGAGGGAATGGTCATTTCCTCTTTCCATGGGAATAAATCCCATTCATTCTAATTCACATTTGTTGATTCCTATCTGAACCAAACAAATTATGGGAATAGACCAATCCAATTCTGATTATTAAATCTTTCACTTGTCCCTTTAGTATAGCCATAAGTAGACCTGTTCATGGGTCGGGTAGCCCGATGGCGCGGCCCGCACCCCGATCAAGCTTGGTCATGTAATTAGGCCCACAGGCCTGACCTTGGGCCTAACACAGTAAGCCTGATTGTGTTTCGGGCCAGGCTCGGGATTTGTCAAAAAAGCCCGGCCCAGCCCGGCCCGACTCAGCATTATATATTTTATAAAATACATAATACGCATTTTATATATTATATAAAATTATTGAAATATATATTTAAAATTTAATATATACATTTTTTTATTTTTTTCTTTATAATTTTTCTCTCTCTCTATTCAGCTGCTTCAGCAGTAGTAACAGCATGGGCTATAAATTTCAGGCTCGGCCCCAAGTTGTAGGCTCGATGGTCGGGTCAGGCTCAGGCTCAAGCCTTAGAAAAATCTATTAATACAGAGTGAAAGCCTGGCCCAGCCCAGCCCATGAACAGGTCTAGTCGTAAGTATCTCCATTCTCTAGCTTATTGTCCACAAGATTACAAATTTGCCCTCCAATTCTTACTCTTCCCCCAAAGTATTCAGCAAGGTTCAAAGTATTTATATGGGTAGCACCCAAAGTTTTTTTTTTTTTTTTTTTGCAACACTCAAAGAATTGTGTGTCATGCAATTCAAAATGGGTGATATTCTTCGGTTTTTTTATGTTTCAAGAATTGAGCCAGGACATCTCTAGGAAGGTTAACCTTTAAAACTGCCAAATGTCCTAATTAATGTGTAATATTTAGGGATGTTCGAGAACATGGTTTTGTTATTGAAAATAAAAAACAAGTACCATGTCATCAAAACAATATAATTTTTCTCAAGATTTAAATTATTGAAAACGCTAAGTGTATTAGAAAAACAAATGTAAGAGACGTATGGAGATATGCCTTGGATATGCATGGATGCAGACGAAAAATTAAGATATGCATGGAAATACTATAGATACTCCAATATAAAAATACATCAATAACATTAAATATAATGCCTAAATGCATTAAATAAACATAAAAATCATATCATTTAGTGATTTTTATGAAAAAACACATCATAATCAACATACGGGAACATATGGGTATTCTCTAATAAGGTTATAATAAGTACAAAATATAAGCTTAGTAATGATTTAAGGAAACATTTTCTGTAATTTTTTAAATAATTATTTTTTCTTATTCAAATAATTACTTTATTTTTATAACAAAAATTAAAAAAATAACAAAATATAACTCCATGGATGTGATAAATCATCCATAGATTTACAGCATGGTAAATATTATGGTTATATCACATAAAAAATTAGAAAAAATAAATATTTTGTATTCTAATTATTAAAAAATAAAAAATAAATATTTTACAATAAATTTCAATAGATCTATGAATTAAAAAATTAGAAACAATAAATATTTTTATTCTAAAATTAAAAAAAAAGTTACAAAAATAAATATTCTTTGTTTTATAACAAAATAAATAATAAATATTTTTTATTCTAAAAATTATAAAAAAAATTGAATATCACCCATATATCTATGACACAATTAGTTTTTATGGGTAGATTACATAAAAAATATAAAATTTTCTTTTTTTTAGTATTTTATATTTTCTGAATTTTCTTTAAAAAATTACATAGATCTATTTAAAGCACCAAAAAATATAGGATTATCAACACAAGGAGAATATATCAATCTATATTAAATCATTTCCAAGCATCAAAACAAAAAAATAAATAAAGAATATTGCAACATATTATCAAATAAGTTGAAAAAAAAATACCCATTTTTGTAGTTTTTGAAAAAAGTTGAAAAAACTTCAAAAATCTTGAGTTTTGGAGGTTCTTTTTGAGTTTTTTTTTAAGAACTTACAACCAAAGAATGTGTAGGGATGATTTGGTGAGTTTGGGAGAGAAATAAGACTTTTAGAAAGAGTTAGAAGCCTTTTTTTCTCAAAAGTTTTAAATTTGTTTTTCGGCTACAGAAGTCATAGTGCATTTGCTGATACACCGATACACCCTCAATACGCCCCGAGATGGGGTCGGCACAACGAAAAGATACAATACAAAGGATTTTGTATCATTTGTCGTGCCGACCCCTTAAAGATACAATACATATCAATCGATATGTTGCGAAATTTTGAACCTTGATTTTGTTGATATGGCACTTGTTTTTGTTTTCAAAAACAAAACCAACCATGTTGTGGAACACTCCTTTAGCGTATTAGTGGATTCAAAAACCAATATAGGTCATACAATGCACATCAATATATATAGATATAGATACTTTGAAACTTGGTACTCAGTTAAAGAGTTTCTCCTTTTACATTGCACCCCACCATTACTAGTAAAATAATTAGATCCATTGACCGGCAGAACTTGCATTTCTATCTCTAGCTAGTAGAATCTTAATCCTCATGCCTTTAAATCTATGTAACTATAAAACCATACAATTGTGTTTAATATTGGTGCAATGGTAAAATCTCGGGCTCACAATCATGAGAATGTAAGTTTAAGTTGTGATCAAGTTGTCCCTATATTTCTTGCTTAAAACCTATCCAAAGTTACCTAACTTGAGTTGTATAGTAGCTATGATTGCTTATTTTAAGTGAAAAGTTATATAAGCGTTTATATTTCCAAATGCAGCCTTAGAAGTGACAATGTATTCAGGGTCCATTTGCTTGGTAATAGGAGTGTCAATTGGACTGGGTTTGGTCCAATCCGATCCAGTCCAGTGTGAGTCCATTACAAATGGACTAGGTCCAATCCAATCCAATTAATATTTTGAACGAYTTTGCACCAGTCCAATTCAATGTATGGACCGTCCAATCTATTCAAATTTGTTTTAATTCATATTGGTTTAAACCCAAACCATATCCATCGACACCTATATTCTTATCTTATGTCAATGGACTATATTTTAGCTTAGTCCAACCCAATCCAATATAAATTTATTACGTACAAACCAGGTCCAGTCCAATCTAATAAATATTTTAGACCGGATTGGTCCAATCCAATATGTCTTGTTGGTCCATCCACATTGATTTTGGACTGGACGGGGTCCAATCCACCCTTAATTGGCAATTAGAATTGGAATGAAAATATGTCAAAATTGCAATTGGTGTCGAAATCTGCTAGAATCAGAATTTGAATGATCTATTATTTGGTTCAAATAAAAATGGGAATCAGCTAGAAGTGCAGAGTGCAATATGGTGGTTGTAAACCAGGGTTCTGGTGGCTGTATCCTGTATGCATTCTTTCTTTAGAGAAATACTAGTATTTCATACCATAAGCAATCACAAACCTTTAAATCGTAGGACAGAATGTAAACAGTTTTTAGGGGGGTAAGAAACAGGGGTTTGTGCAAACATCTGTGTTAGGGATGCTTTTATCCTCTTATTGAAATTAAAGGCACCATGTAGGCCACATTGATGAGCCATCTGTTTCTGGTTAGTGCAGGTGGATATATGATGCCAGAAAGAAGGCTTTTACCAATCAAAACTCCCCGTAAATTTTGATGAATTCCACTTGATTAGTTACCACTTATACCAATTGATTTATTACAAATTTCAACGGTATCATGCCTTTCTGGTATTATAGTTGAACCCCATATATTGTTGCATTTGCAGCATTGTATGATTCAGAAATTTGGAGTAGTAGTTGTATTTTGTATAGGTAAATTATTTATTATAAAAAAAAACTAAGTTGCTTGAGATTGTGGTTGAGTAATGGGTACACATGCGCTTACTAGCTTGATATATCAATTGAACCCATTTTTACTAAACTCTTTGATAACCTTCCTTCATCCACATCACCATTTCTAATCAAATCATCAATCATTGAATTCCATGAGATAACATTCTTTTCTGGCACTGTGTCAAAACATCTTTTCGCTTCTCTAATTCTCCTAGCATTTGTGAACCCACATAGCATATGTTGAATAAGCTAGTCTTACTTTAGTTTAGTGTTGTAAGGGCACATATGTAATTTTACATTGTTTTATTATTTGAGTGGTTGCCCTAATATAAATATCAAAAAGGCTGGCACCGCCAGCTGATGTTTTTTCTCTCCAAAACCTTTTTTCTCTTTTCTCTCTTCTCCCTCCTCTTCTCTTACTATTTTGAGATCCTACTACGTGTTTACCAAGAAAACATGGTATCAAAGCCATAGATCAAGTTTTAGGAGCAAGGCAATTAGTCCTTTTCTTTCTCTAGATGCTTTCTTTGTCCATTGGTGATCGAATCAAAGAAAAGGGACTTCTAGTTGACGTGAGGAGGCTTGCTGTGTGATTCTTCCTCTCCCCTCTTGTTTTGTAACTATTGTGACAATAGCTTTTCCTTTAATGGTTGTGTAAAAAATTGATGAATTATTGTTTGGAGGGACTGGTCAAACCTTATTTTTTATATGTTTTATACATCTGAGCTGGTTTAGTTGGGTTGTAATATGAGAACAAGTGATGTTGTGTGATCATATTTGATTATGCTGTGTGAGAACAATATTTTTTTGTGCCTAGAATTTTGGCTGGACTAAGGTTTTAAATTTTTTAACTGAACTAAACTGAGAACTAGTTCTTTGAATGAATTGTGACTAAACTAAAATCAAGTACCATGTCTTCTAAGGGTTATGGTGTGTCTGGTGTGACCTCTAGTTAGAATAGAACGAGTGGAGGATTTGACGTGAGTTTTCCCATGGCTGTGATTCCCTTTGATGGTCTCAATTACCTAGAATGGTCAAGGGGAATCAAGCTCTACATAGCTGCAAGGGGAAAAGTGGGGTATATCAGAGTTAAGAACCACAGTCTGGATGTGTGGAACATGATAGGTGGGACTAGGAAAACAACATGGCGATGTCATGGTTGTTTTTGTCCATGATGCCAAAAGTGAAAAAGAATTACATGCGGGCAGAAATAGCTCATGAGATATGGTAGTAGGCTAAATCTACATATTCGGGACAATGCCATTATGCCAAAATATATCAGTTGCAGGCTTCCTCCTCTACTTGTAAGCAGGGGGAGAGGAGTCTCTCCGTCTACTATTCAGACTTGACCTGTGTTTGGAAAGAACTAGATCATTATCGGAATATAGAGTAGAATTATGATGCAGATGCTAGAGCATACAATTCTCTAGTTTCTTAACAACGGGTGTTTGCCTTCCTCTTAGGGTTGAATTTCACATATGAATCTATCAGGGTTCAGATATTGGGGAGCAAAAATCTTCCATCAGTGCAAGAAGTGTATGCTCTACTATAGTCAAAAGACAGTAGATGGAATGTAATGAATAATTTTGAGGGGGAGCATATTACATTAGTAGCTAAAGGGAGTGTTATTACGGGAGGTGGTAATTCCTTTAAGAAGAGTGACCTCCAAAAGAAAGTTGATGACAAGGATAAACTATGATGCACACATTGTCAGAAATCTAGACATACTCGGGATACATGTTGGGAACTTCATGGGAAGTCAAAGTGGGTTCAGGAGTTGAGTAAAAAATTAGACAAAAATAAGAAGTCAAGACAACAAGGCCAAAAGAAGTTTAATGCAACAAACTTAGCCTCCCAGGAGCCTTAATCATCTACACTACCATGAGTTCTTTTGTGACGGATCCCAGGGAAGATATCATTAATTCTTTCAGTGACCATTTGGAGTTGTATGGGAGGGCAATTTGCTAGATGGATTATGCTTCTCCCCCCTCGACTTCCTTTGCGCTTACTTCAAGTAACGGTAATTCTGCCACAACTTTCCATGTGTCATCACATCCCTCAAACTCTCCTTGGATAATAGGTTTTGGAGCCTCAAATCATATGATGGGTAAGTTCAATTGTTTTCAATCTTATCACCTATTATCTGGTCGGGACAAGGTGAGATTTGCTAATTGTTCTCTATTAGTAGTATAACAAATTCGTTAAACTGCTCAGTAACCTTTTTCCTTCCTCTTGTATGATATAGGATTTGGCCTCGGGGAAGATGATTGGTAGAGGTCATATGGTGGATGGTCTTTACATGCTGAAGAATTGTCAACACCCGATTTTTGCTCGGTCCACTGCCTAAGCCTCCAATTCACCCCAAACACCCAATCAGACCCTTCCGACCTCTCCGAAACACCTAAAAACCTAGAAAACCTAAGTTTCACCCCGATAGCCCTCAAATCCACTGTTAAACTTGTTTGATACCAATTTGATGGCCCTAATCGACCCCAACTTACACCTCAACCACTAGATCTAAGATAACCATCAAACCCAGGATCTCCCAAAACACCTACCCATAAAATTTCAACTCAAGATTCCCTTTTTTACCCTCTCATCAAAAGAAGATTCCACTTCAACCACCCTCAGTAGCCTAAACACTCAGAACCAAGATTACCTTGATCTAGACACACCCAAACCGATCAAACCACACCTTTAGACTCCAGACACACCAAAACACCTACCCACGAAGTTTTAACCCAAGATTCCCTCATTTATCCCTCTATCAAACCAAGATTCCACTCTAAAACATCTCATTGACCCAAATTCCTCTGATCTTGACCCTCTAAGACTGATCAGACCACACCATCAAATCCCAGATACCCCCAAACACTCGTCTATAAAATTTCATCCAAAAACACCTCTGCTTACCCCTCCATCGCACAAAGATTCCATTTTGAGACCCTAGATTAACCGAAGTGAACCCTTTCTAGATCTGCCCAATCCGAGCCTAGTTAGACCAATCTGACCCTACCAATCAACTCAGGACCTCTAAAAACCTCACCTTGGCAATTTTTACCAAAAACACCCCCCATTTACCCATCAATCAGGAAAGATTATGTTTTTGCCAATTTTATTAGCCTATTAGCACAAAAACCCTCTTTAGGCTCAAACCAGTCGCAATCCTCTTTAAACCAAATCACCCATCATTGAACCGAACTTGGATTAACCCTTTAGATCCCTTTTGACCCACATGAGCAAAGCTATCAGCCTCCCCCTAGTTTTATAAGAATTTACGAAGCTGCCCTTGGATCTTCTTTAAAAGGATACCTAAATGCTTCATTTTGGGTGTGGCAAGAATAGCCAAGAAAGAGCAAGAAAGAGAGGAAGAGGGAAGTTCCAAACAGGGGAGAAAAGCTAATTAACCCCTATTTTACTTATTCTGTGGCTGTGAATGAATTGATATGTAGCAGCGAAAGCTACTAGGTTATTAGCCAGATTCCGTCAAATTCACCATCATCTTTGGGTACTACCTCCTGAGAACTTCACACAGATATTCATTATCACTCGTCGTTCGCATCATCGGCCAAAATACTAAACTAATTGCAGTTCAGCTTCAACAAGTAATTTTACTCTTCTTGTTCTTCATTAGCTTCTGTATTTGGTTGATATACTTCCCTTCTTAGATGCAATAACAGATCAACCCTTAAAGGCAATAGTGAGACTCGGTTGAGCCGTCTCTGAAGGTCTCAGGTTGATGGTGAATGCGTGACAAGGGGTATTACTCTGTTTTGTCTTCTTCATGTCATATAACCGAATACTCCTCTGCATGAGATGTTTGAAATTGTTTTTGCTCTGTTATTCTTTATTATTTATGTAATCTCCAGTTGATTGATGTATTTTTTATTTATATACTCTAACCTGGGGGATTGGTCAAGGACGATGATGAGATAATCACCGAACCAATCTCTGAAGATTTGCCCATATTTTCGTTCTTGTTCTTTTTTATCTTATTTTGTTTTATGCTTTCCTAATATAGTGGTCGGTACTAATGATTGACAAACGGCGTACTTCTCGAGCTGATGATTAATAACCAATGCCGGTAAGGATTAACAAATCACTCTGTTATTTCCAGAACTTCAGTAATTTTTGTTTTCTTTTTAACTTTGTTTGTTCATTGTATCGACTAATATTCATTGAGAGCTACCTAGGATTATCAACCAGTGTTGGTAATGATGTCGTTTTTTACAATAAGGGATAAACAAAGTTGGTGATGAGGTGGTCACTGAACCAACTTCTGTAAATTAGTGGTGCGAATTTAGTTTTTACTCTTGGAATCATCTTTGTTGCCTTCTTTTAATATGCACTTTGCTTTCATTTTCGTGTTTGGGCATCAAGCTATACTCATTCCTGTATGTTATTTCAGAATAATCATTAGTAGAAGTAATTGAATCCCATCCTTGTCATTTGCGTGCGCTTCTCTGTTGTTTTTCTTTTCCTTGCTTCACCTATTTTGTCTGTCGAGAGTAAATTGGCATAGCAATAGTTCATATTCTTTGAACTTGTGATAAGGCTTAGATCGTATGATTTTTCACCTGAGTTCAGTCATATCTGAAATAAAGATAGCCTGGGGTTTTAGCTCTTAGAGCTTTCACCATGTTCCACCTCCATATGGATAGAAATGCATTAACTAATTAAGTGGCCATGAAAACAAAATTTGAAAAAATACAAGAAAAGAGAAAAGGAGGGTAACTATCAAAAGAGTTGAAACAAATTCTTTCGGGTAGTAGACTAAATAAAAAAAAAAGAGAAAGAGAGAGTGCGGGTTTGGAACAATGGATTGATGAGTAGATAATAGCAATAGACAGTAATTTGTCAAAAAAAAGGAAAAGGAAAAACATAAAAAAGGGAATCTTTGCGGTGAGGAGTTTAATTTGTAGGCTAGACTGGCATGACTTTGCTGTTTGGGAATGACAATAGAGGAGAGAAGTAGCTTAAGCATCACTAAGATTTCAAAAAAAAAGACAAATAAAAAAAAGGAGATAATGTATGTATATAAAAATTTAAATGGTAGCAAATAAGAAAAAAGAGATTGTTAGACAATTATGCCCTTTAGCCCCAATCAGATTGATGTACCTTTTTTACATTTATTGTAAATGAATAAAGTACATAATTGATTCATGTCATTGTGGTGTGTTTCTGTACCCTTAAACTGGACACTTATGAGACTCGTGTTAGTTTAGAATCTTCACAGTCGTTGAATAGATTTGGGGAGATTTATCCTGCCAAGGCTGACACTAATGTACTGCCAAGTTGGTTGGGGTGGCTTGTCTCAGCTGCCAGGGTGAGACCTGAGGTACATGTAGTGTGGGTTTTCTTGAAATCCTGAACCGGACCAAAATTCCAGTATTGCCCTGGACCTTGGAGATAGATGGGCAAAACTAGAATGTTACGCGTGACCCCTAGATTCGATTATGATACTGTACTAGATGTCGGATTGGGCTATCTTTGATATGCCAATCAGTGAGATCCTTAGAGGGGGTCAAAACCTGGGTATGTTGGGACAATTCGAGAATTCATCTGAGTGGGTGATTATAGTGATAGGATCAGCCCCTTTGTCGGACAAAGTGAATAATTGGGGATGCACTCTCTCTGATGAAAACCTAATTCAAAATGTTTGCAAAAGGTTTTAATTCCCGGGATCCATGTGAGTAGAGAATGCAGCATTGCACCATGCAGCCGTGGGAGAGGTCCTCTCTTGTCGGGCAATGTTTGATCATTACAGGCTGAGAGGTTAAGTGTAAGACCATTGAGGGTAATACTTGATGGGCTAATCTTGCATCTGCCCACAGTCCTTGGGTTTTTATAAGGTGGCTTGACCCAAGGACTATTTAGTGTAAATGTTGGGCCCATTAAGAGCCCATGGTGATGGACTCAGGGGTTTACTATCTCCTACAATGTATTTAGCCAGGCCTCGTAATAGAGGCTGGGCTGAACCCATGTGGCTGATGTGTAGATAAATGTTTGGGTCCCATGCCATATAGGAAGAGCCAACTGGGCAACAGATTAAGAGGATAAGTGAGAACGTAGACTTATTGGGCTTAAAGCCCAATTCGAACTAGCTTAAAAAGTTTAATTAAATAGGGGCAATTCTGGGATTTGGATTAGCAGATAGGATAAGGGATTATCCCTATCCACTTAAAGAGTCAATATCCAAATAAAGATTTGGATTAGGAATCTCCTAATTTGATTAGGAAGGATGATCTTTATCTGCAGATAAGATAAGGGATTATCCTTATCTCTTAAAGAGAGTCCAGATCCAAATAAAAGATTTGGATTAGGAAACTCCTAATGGGATTAGGAGATCCTCTCTTTAAGACTATAAATAGAAGAGCAGGGCGAACCTCCAGACACAACAACAGAACAAGAGTTCAGAGTTCGCAGATCACAGAAAGATGACATTACAGTTCGACTGTTCTTGTCTTCTGCACTTTTCTTTCCTGCTCTTGCCGCCCTTACCCAATTCGATCTTCACTAGTGGGAGTGATCAAGAACGGTTCTTGATATTGCCTTTTGCTAGAAGAGGCAATCTGAAATCGTGCTCACTAGCCCTCTATCATATTCTTGCTGAAGAATTCGGTTCTTGCTGAAAAGCTGTCCTATTGATTTCTGCTTCACCTCACACCGTGTCATCTTTGGTGGAAACAGTCTTTGGTCTTCTCCTTGGGCGTGAACACCTTCGTTGGGGGTTACTGTTACTCCGTATCAGGTATATCCCTCTCATCCCTTTTGGTTTCAGATGTGGTCCGGTTTGATTTCAAGGTTGATCATTGAAAATGCAGTTTTCTAAAATAGGGAATGCGATTCCCACATGGGAGAGAGAGAAATTTTTGAACTTTTCGCCCAACCTTCCTGTAGGGTTCAGCCATCCATATGATGGATCTCTCATCCCTTCAAAGATTTGTAATTATAAAAAAAGGGGTATAATAAAAAATAAGGTAGTAAAAAAATATAAAATAAATAAATAATAATGATGAAAAAGAAAAAAAATTGTTTTTTCTTTAAAACCCCATTTGGGCCCCACCTTTGGACTTGGGAGAGGGGTGCCTAACCCCTTCCCTCTCCCAGCGAGGTCTTATCTAGACTGGTTGGACCGGTGTCTAGGCTTTGGAGTCACTAACAAAACAAAACACACTTTCCGATGTTAATATTGGAAGTCTCGTCACCTCAATTTCCATATTTGATGGGTGATGACTCCATTTCCAGTGTCAGTATCGAATTTCACATGTTAAACTTGTCAGTTGAGCAAACATTGTAGAAATCATTTTACTTCAAAGAATAATAGATTTGATTTTCCTTTCTATATTATTTATTCTGATGTTTAGGGCTCTGTTACTTCAACGCTTGATATTCATTCAGTTTCAAACGAAGATCCAAATTTTCCAATCAAACAATAGCAAAGAATACTTTCATAGTGATCTCACGGAGTTTTTTACTTAATGTGGATCCATACACCGTAGCTCTTGTGCTAGAACCCCCAACAGAATGGTGTTGCCTAAAAAAAAAACTGCCACCTCCTTGAAGTTGCTTGAGGGTTACTCATACACATGAATGTTCCTAAACGTTTTTGGTTAGGTTTTGTGTTGTGTGCTGCCTTATCTCCTACTCATGGTAAACTAAATCCTCGTATCATTCCCTGTGTATTTTTGGGTTACACTTTTTCTCAAAAGGGTTATCGATGTTTTGACCCCGTTTCTAGGAAATACTATGTATCTTTAGATGTGTCTTTTTTTTAGAGTGACCATTTTTTCTCTATTTATCCTTAGGAGGAGAATAAGGTGGAGGAGAAACGAGTTGAGGTTCTTCCCCCTTTGCTTGACCCTCCTTTGTTTCATGTTTTTTCTTGTCATCGCAAGGGCCAACTAAGTTCAAGAATTGTGGAGCAACTTGAAACTGTACCACCAACATGATCAGATTCCCTGGGGACAAATCTTATCCAACTAGGTACTCCTATTCCTATTAATGTTTCTAATCCTCTTGCTATTGATGCTTCATCTGGTAATGACCTAGACATCCTTATTGCAAAAAGGAAGGGAGTTAGGTCTTGTACTACCAAGCATCCTATTTCACATTTTATTTCCTATGAGAACATCTCACCCTCTTTTCGTGCTTTCCTTTCTTCCATTGATAGTGTTTCTATTCCTAAAAATGTGGTATAAGCTCTCTTAGTACCTCAATAAACAGATGTAATGAAAGAAAAGATAAATGCCTTACACAAAAATGGTATATGGGAGTTAGTGGATCTTCCTAAGGGTAAGGAACCAGTAGAGTGCAAGTGGGTGTTTACAATTGAAGCACAAGGTTGATGGCACAGTAGAAATGTACAAGGTCAGGCTGGTGGCAAAAGGTTTTACCCAGGTATCATTTGGATCTAGATTAGACTTGGGTATCGTTTGGAAATTTAGACATAAGTGTTGCCTTCAGTGACTTTTACGATGTTTTAGTGTCTTTTAATGGGAAATAAAATTTTCTTTTTTATTACTTTTTTAATAGGTTGAAAGAGTCTGGGCTTCATTCTTTATCCTACTTTTAAAGATGGCAACCACATAGTGCAACACTCATGGTGTCTTAGTCCTAATTACACTACAGTTCCTCTATCCTATTTTCATATGAGGGTTCTATGTATGGGTATTTTAGGTGCGATGCATAGAGTTGTTAGGTGGGTTCTAGACTTTGAAGTTCCAACAAGGTTGCTAGCCTTTAAACCTCCACCCAAGGACAAATGGGCATCTCTAGTTGGTGGCTAGTTTGAAAGTTTTGGTGGAGCCTTTGAGGACTAAAGTCTATAGGCACACACCTACTATCCTTACCCTAATAGGTAAAATGGGATTCCAATTTTATTTACATGAGAGTGTGTGAAAGTGTTCAAGCATGCAAGAAAAATGAATAGGAAAGCAACAAAGAACAAAGGGAGAATACAACCACATATTCAAATTTACAAGCAATCCTACAAGTCTCCAGGTGGTCATATTTGGGGATCTAATAGAAGCTAAGTTCTCTTGATGCTTTTTAACTAAAACAAAGGAGAGGAAAGAGCAAAACAAGAAA